AAAGGCTCAACGGTGGCCTCGCTTCCTCCATTAATCCATCTCCTTTTACAGGGGCTGTCAAGACAGTGTTTGTTTGCATCCCCGCTTCAATAGGTGCATGCTCTCTCTGTGCCACCGTGTGCGCCTGCAAGTCCATGCCCGTGCATGCGCGCAGCACAACTTGTAATATTTCACATCTTTACCCACAGGGATAGACCATTCATTTCCCAAAGCCACAGTGTGGGTGTCACACTGTGCTAATGAGAGGAAGGCTGGAAACGAGGGAGATCTGGCCGCTGAGCAATGAAGGAAAGAGTAAAAATAGACAGATAGCTGAAAAAGAAAGGACAGTGATCGATAAGGGTTGCGTCATCAGGAGTATTGATAAGGGAGGGGTTTTCATGCTGGGAGTGTGTGGGCGGATAGAATGTTTTTTAAAATATTTTTTTAAGGACTTCAAAATCAAAGAGGAATTCCAGCCGCATTAAAAGGAAACATATGATTTCGGAAATGGGTGCTTTTTAAGATCAAAGACAGGTACCGTGCTCTTGTGACAAATCAATTGACACCAGGCTAAGCCTTTGATTGCAGCTGCATCGTAGCTCGCATGGCTACAGCAGGCAAACAAATCAAACACACACACTGACAAGCCTGTAAAATGACAATGCGGTCATCAGATGCTTCTTGCTGTGCGCATGTGAGTGTGTCGTTAAGAAGACCAGATATCACTCCGCTTTCCCCAGTAACTCAAACAAGGGGGTGGCTGCTAGGCAACCAAGCCACATCACATCAGGCTATCCTGAAGAGAGCGCGAGATAAGGAGACAGCGAGGTGGGGGACGTTCAGAGGCAGAAAACTGTGCTGGCAGTGTTACATAAGCCAGTAGGCAAGTCCCAGTGTTCATATTAATGCGGTTAGACACTGGGAGGGGAAGTGATGCCCATTAGTCACAACTGACAAGGCAGGTGAAGACGCAGCATCCGGCAGTGATTTTAAAAGCTGTTATTATGTATAATGGGGAGGATTAAGACTGGATGTGAAGCCCCCCCACCCCGTCTCTCCTGAAAAAAAAAACAAAAACAAAAAAAAAAGCAATCTTCCACAAAGGCATTGTGACTTGTTACTTGCCTTTTCTTTCACACAAAGCTAATAACGATAGACGATTACTGTGCTTATACAGTTTGAACATCCCCTTTCATGACACGCTGATAGCTTAACGGGTGTGCTGAAAAATAAATGAGGATGAATTTATGTGCATATGTAAGATACGCCAATCAACACAATCATCAAAGATAAATCAGAGGCTAAAATAAAGATGAATCTGAGGTGCTGTTGTGCCTGCCAACCGTATACAAAATTAATGTCTATGCATTGCTACATACTGTTCACATTCTGCCTCCATGTGTATTCAGCTCATCTTCGTTTTAGGCAATACCAAATAGTTATAATGATGACAACTCCATCTATTATCGCAATTTATAGGGAATTGATCCATCATTGTAAGTCTGTAGGCTTCATTTTCTATATTGATACTAGCCCTATAGGAAGACTTTATGTTTTGCATATTTGGATGCAGTGTATAATTTCAATCAAGCGTATATTGTCAAATAGCGAATTCCTGGAATGAATCTCATGGATTAATTTCATTTTCTGTTCATTCTTTTAATTGAGAGACAAACCTCCTTCATGCACATGTTTACAATTTTTAAGAAAATGTCAATACATGCTGTGCTGTAAAACTAAATCACTCTTTAGGGCTCACTTAAAATAACTAACAATGAATACAAACATGGGCTAGTTTTTGTGTCAGTGTTTCGGTTTTACCACGTAAACAACATCCCTGATGCTTATGAGACCCATACGACTATGTGTGCACCAGTGTCGAATCTGTCAGTCAGTTTGTTGACCCACAGCTACAATCCAGACTCCTCATAGCTCCCTGGGGATGATCGTGAAAGGTCGGATGGGACAGGAAGCTTCCAGCTCCAGAGCTGTGAGGAAGCAGTCGGGGGCCTGAGTGGATCCCAGAGAATGCAGAGCCTCTCCCAGTCCACTCCACGCTTTGTGGGACGTGTTGTGGATTTGAACGGCATCACGTAGGACCTTCTCCCCGAGGTTTGCACGCCCCGTCTTCACAAGCAGCCGACCCTGCGCAAATAATTGTAAAAATATACTTCATATTATATATTTTTCACAATTTTGTGAAATCAATGTTTACGACGACCAATACCAACCACAATGAACCCTCCCACAATATGAGAACGAGTTCAAGAACTGCATCAAAATACTCTGCCTTGCACCAAAAATGCTCAATTTTGATTGACATTGTCAAAGTAGTATTCATTCATAAAGTGTGTTTAAAACTGTAAATGCAGATTTCAGTAGCGCACAACAGTCTCATAACTTGAAGAGCTCTCATATTGGATATTATTATCGACCTTAAAAAAAAAAGTAGCACCTCACAAGGCTGCTGCCTCGGAAATCGGATAGTTCAAGACCTGCTGGGAACGGACAAACACCGTAGTTGGTCGAGACATAGCACTTAGTTTCCCCTACAAGGACTGCAGAAGTGAATTTGAGGGAAGCCTCAAACCTTGAACTGCTCCACAGCGTGATATATTGTAGCCTCTTCGACTCCACTACTACAGTGCCGCTGCTATACACGTGCAAACTATTTCTCCTGCAATTGTCTGGCGACCAGGCCAGTGGGTACCTCGCCTATTCCTCAAAGTAAGCTGGGAAAGGCTATGTTCATATTCTAGGCTAATTTCTTGACACTTGCATGCCACTTGGTTGAGATTCACATGCAGGTTGCTCTCGAGGAGCTCTGACGAAACTTTCAATGAGAGCGTGTACACCCACTGTGTCTACCTCGGGTTGTTTTTTCATTTTCTTGCTGCTGCTGAGAAGAAAAACTGTCGTTTATGGAGAAAAGCTATCACGGGATGCACGCGTACATGCAGCCTTGCCAGGACATAAAAGTCCCTTTAATAATGAGCTATTGTTCCAATTATTTCTCCCGGATTTGGATGGGCTTGAATTCTCTGGTGGAACTGCATGTTACATTGACACAATATTTTAACAAATCTGAAACACACTGACGCATACTTTGGGGCTTTTAGGCATTGCGAGATGGCAGCTAGATAACTGCACAGTGTTGTGGTAGAAATGGGTCAAGGTTTTCTTAGTTTTATAAATTAAGTAATTCGCAACTGCACTGGATATCAACATGCCTCGTGTTAGCCCCGCCCAAAATATTAACTATGATAACTGAGAAGGTAAAAAAAGTGTTTTTATGCGATGGGCCGTATTTTTGTGCCAATTGCAAATCTGGCACAAAGTGCAGTCTAACTGTGCACATGGGTGGAGTCTTCTTTAGTTTGGTATTTTCGTAGAAATATGAAGGTTGAAATGGGCGTCTGTGCTGTTGTGGGAGTGAACACAGCCAATTTGTTTCCCGGCCAATGGAAGCAGCACTTTCAATTCAGTGCAGGAGAGGCGCACAAGCGGCATGGAGGAAGCACAAACTGACTCGCCAGAAGGAAAGCAAGAGATCAATGTGAGCCAAGCATTTTACATTTATGAGGAACTGTAAGACAATCTCCACTTGCGGATGGTGTAAAGCTGGCCACTGTGAAGTGGGCACTTGCAAACCAACTTCCACCCATAGTGTGGGGCTGTGTGTGACAAACACCAAACAGCCCCGCCCCCCTAGCATTATTCATACACTTCATATTTGTTCTGTGGCATCTGTAGCATGTTTCAGTTACCAGAGAGACCACATTAAAACATTGTTATTACCATTATTATGGTGTTTCTACTGCTAGTAAAGGTACATAAAAATACACAACACATTCACATTTTTAGTTGTAGCAAATATACCACCCCCCTAATACCTACACCCCGCCTCCTCCCTTTTGCCATTCCACAAGAATTATGGACTTGTATTTACTGGTCCACGGCGGAAAAAAGGTTGGGGACTACAACCCTTGACAATAATGAGCCGGCAGAGGTCATGGAAAAACTGTATTTTCAACTTCAAAACAGTCCACTAAAAGTGGGCAACATCTCACAGTGAACAGATTGGAACTTGCAACAAAAATGGGAAGAGGAACATTGGGACTGCGTGTTTCTGGCATCACAGGAAATAAAACCTGTACCTGGTTGATTTTACTTGAACTGCTTCAAGCCATCTGTCTCCTGTTTTAGTTCAGCCGATCGCAACAAGCTTGGTGATGCAGATTTGTGTCTCGTTCTCGTGAAAGCACAAATGAAGTGAGCTGAGCCAAGCTGAGTCTTAGCTAGTGAAGCAAGCTAGTTATCTTTCCATTCCTCTTTCAAATAATTTGGAAAAATTGCTCAAAATGTACACCACCTAAGATAGCATCTTTCCTTTGCAGGTGAGAATAAAACCATAATTCTACAAAACAGACAATCCTAGTAGCATTTTGTTACGGAATTAAATGTCATTGAAGAAATTAGTTGCAGACCGTGCAGAAAAAAAGTATTTGCCTCCTACCTATATTTAACAGACTGAAATGTCTTGGATCATCAATCCAATTTTACTATCTTACAAAAACAACCCAAGTAAAAACAAAATGACGATTTCATTTATGAAAAGGAAAAAAAATCAAAACCCATCTGCATCTATTTTAAAAAGCTATCTGGTTTCATACTTTGGAAATCAGTTCCCAGGAGAAATCAAAAAATCAACAATGTTTTCCACAGCTCTTAATGAATGCAAATGACTCAATACTGAATATATACCCGTCTCAATCATGTTGACAGAGGAGGACTTTTAAAAATAGCAAAGCTGTGGATGAATGAATGTTCAGTAAAGTCAATCCAGAAAACTGTTTTGGCTGGTGTAGCTTGGTGTAGTGTTATTGTAGTGTAAGGTTATTACAGTGGTTAGCTTATCATGTTATCAGGTTACAGTTACAGGTTCGTTATTGGCGCATGAAGGGGTTAAACTGTTAAAATAATCACAACTGTTCTGATAGAAAGACGAATGAACTCCATCTTGATAAATCACATTTTGTTGACCTCGATCTGCGTGTGTCACATCGCTCTAAAACGGCTCTACAATGAACGGATTGGAGCATGTAAACAGGGTTCAGTTGGTCTCGGCATCTCATGAGTTGACTACTTTGTCCTGTTCTGAAATAAGTTACAATTGTCGGACAGTTTAAGTTAGCTGGCTAATCGAAAATTTACCACAAATGATTTTAAGACGCCAATTTCTCACCAATGAAAAGGGTTGAATTTCCTGAGCTACATCAAGTCATTTGACTCCTTCTTGAGAATTAGAGTGAATCAACTTAACTCTTAAACTGAAGTACACTAATTCAACCGTTTCCTCCTGAGGTGTCTTAACTGTAAAGCTTCTCACACTGACAAAACGTGTACTACTGAATATTTGTCTTGTTCCAGTTTTGCTGGTTTAAGGTCATAAACGCACAGCAACGTACCGACTTTATGATATTATGCTACATGCTAAAATGGCCGCCGCTCAAGTGAAGCTGCCCAAAGGCTGTTCAAGCCTTTTGGTCTTTAATGCCTTATGTTTTTGATACAAGAAATGCTCAGTTTATATTTGCTTGCAATTGCCCCACTGAAAATGGTTCGACACTAATAATATTGCCCATTAGCACATTGTTGTTGCCTGTAAATTATTGCATATAACACTTTGGCGACATAGATGTAGCTTTACATCACGCCGCTGCCCTCATTCCTCACCCAGTCCCATGGTAACGCTGGTATGAATCTTTTAAGATGAACGGAAATCGAGGTTAGCGATGCGATGCTAACCTCCATCCTCCTCCACAACCATCTTATTTTGAGATTCTGGGAACTGCGCAGATGTATGAAGACCGCGGCGCCTTGTCAGCTGGACATTTCACTGCACTACAGAATTGTGGTGGTGGTAGGCGAGCTGTCAGTTCACTCTGAACTCACCAACTCGAAGACAAGATGAGCAATTAATTGACTTTAAGGTTTAAATGTCGAAGTGGAGTAGTGAAGTCCACTTGTCGACTAATCGGTTCGACCCATTTTAGCAACACTTTGCACCTGTCATACTCTCTTCTCTGGTTGTCCATCTTCTTAAATTGTTTTCAGAAGGTAGCAACCAGTCTAAACTGGAAAAAAACCCACAAGACATGTCGTTTGGGAGTTGGTCTGACCCAATTGTTTGACAATCCCATTTAGGTTTGTGGTTCAGATCTTTACCGTTGTCGTTCCCTGCATGAGACACGGCCTTCTGTGTCAGCAGGTGAAATGGGGAAAAAATTGAGCCATTTTCTACTTCACCTTAAGTAAAACAAATCTTTCAAGATTCCTGAAAGTTTAATTCCATTTCAACGAGTGCCTTATAAAGGCTGACACTGTCAAATCATCAATTATCATTCATGTGAGCCAAATATCTTAAAACACAGTTCTTGATCATTCTTTCACATGCTGTACAATGAGGAGTGCAAGTGACTGTCGGCGGACCTTGCGTGTCTGCATGCCTCCACAACTGAGCCCTGGATTTCAAAGACCATTGCCACCTTTCTTCCTTTGCACCCACACATTTGCAAAGCCCAAGTCAGAGGTTGGGGAAACAAGTGAATGGCAATCCATAGTGGAAGGGGAAAGGGACAAATAGAAAGAATGGAAAGAGGGCGGAGTTGAGGATGTAAATGCAGGCAAACATTCCAAAGCAAACAAGAAATGGTTCAAGTTAGCAAAACCTGAATGATGAAATGGGCAGTTGACGAATGGCAAACAACTGCATGAAGCCATACGTTGCAAAAAAGGCAGCAACCAGCTTGCAATTGCCCGAGTGTTTGTGCCGCTGATTCATTTTTCCCTCTGAATCTCTTCCACTGCCTCCTCTCTGCTTATCAGAGGTCTTACTCAATAGAATATATTTCCCGGGTTGCTAGGCAATCCCATAAAATGGCAAGAAGAGTTATAAATAATGTATTCCCATGATCCAATCAGCTGACAGCCACCCCCAAGCACAGGGAAGGAGAGGAGAGAAAGATGGGAGCATTTGATAATTGGGAAAAAAAATTTAATTCAATGAGCACAAGTCCCCGTCCTTGAGATTTTGCATGCATGTGTATGAATATGCTTCTGGAGGAGAGGAGGCAAAGCAGAGC